CATAGTCATTGTTTTGTAATATGACAATAGATGGCGACACAACAGTAGTGAAAATTTTCCAGACACTCATTAATTCTAAACTTTCCAAACAATTATCGTCGAATTAATCATTTTGGTTCTAACATGGCCGTATCTTACCAACATTGTTGAGATAATTTAGACAGTCATTAACAATAAAATAAAATACAAAAATGTATAGTTTAATATATAATATTTTTATTTATTTTTTAATAAACAGAACTTTTTTTTTAAAAAAAATTAAGTTTCCGAATATATAAATCTCTCAATTTTAAACAAAATCGTAAACGTCGTCCCCGACACTACAGCTGTTAACGTTGCATATTGTTTTGTCGCGCAAAAACTATAAGACTTAGCAACTTGAAATTTTGAAAATGTGCAGAAAATAGCATAATGAATGTGGTGGAATTACAAAAATATTGGATTTTATTTTATTTCGAGAGTATTCAGCTATTAAACTTGAAGTCAAATAAATAAAGAAATTAAAATAAACAAAGCTGACCATTGATATGCAATGACAGAGTTGACATTTAGCGTGTTGAAAGGGCCATTTTCAACAAAAAAAACACAGCGAATTTTTTTTAAAAAAGTTTTCTTAAAACGAATTTTTTTCCAATTTGTTGAAAGCTATTGCAATTTTATATCGTTTTTCAAATTTTTTTCCCGCTTATTTTGCTTTAAATAGTGATTATTTATCTATTGTTGTCGAAAAATTTATCTCTCTCGGGGTTATGCTTTTATTAGCTCACATTTAACTTAACGCCGAAAATTAAAAAAAGTAAATGGATAAATAAAATAGTAGAAATAAGAAAATGCAATATGACGCTGCCAGATATAAATCATAACATTTATAATGAATTTTTTTTAAACTATAAATATCTGGAGAGATAAAAACCGTTTGCAATTTGAACAGTTATACAACATAAGGTTAACGTTATACATTATTATCAAGTAAAATAACTTCTTATTGTATTATACTTTTTCTATTAAATTTACATATTAAGTTTAGATACTTTTTTTTTTCAAGAAGAGTTTATAATTTTTAAATCCAAGTAATCGTTTATTTGGTTACGATAAACTTATTAATAAAATGTTCTTACATAAAATTATAATAATTATAAATTTTATAAACAGAAATTTTTGTTTTATTTATTTATTAGAAATTATCAAATTAGAGGGAAGGGAGGAAGTAAAGATGAATGAGTGGCTAGAGCAGGGATTGACGAACAAAATGAGCAGAGAGCAGAACCTTCTAGAACTGTTTAAAAAATGAAAGAAAAATGACTCAAATATACTAAATTTTGCGATCAAATGCTGACTTGAGATTTTAAAAACCATTTTTATGTTTATACTTGAATTAGGAAAGTCATAATATTAATTAATACTATTTGTAAAAATTGAAAAGTCTATTTATACCTAAAGTATTAAAATTACAATAAATTAGAAAAAAATCAATAAAATAAAATTGCGTCATTAACGTAAATTATAATTTCTACATTAAGGTTAGTTAGTTCAAATTCGATAGTCATGAAATTAAATTATGTACAAATTAGAATTAAATAAAATATTATTTTCTCTAATTTTTAATTATTTATGTTTAAGTAAAGAATGTAAAGCTACTTTAAGAAAATACATGCCAGGAATTCCTACATTAAAATGCATTTCTACGTAGGGAATCTAATATCGGAATACCAAAAATGACAGCAATTTTTGATGAAGTCAGACTAAATTAAAAAGATAAAAACAATTAAAGCAGAGCATTTACGGATTGTAATTTAAGCTGCGCTTCACGAAATATAGTTTAAAGTGGTATGATTTAAATTTAATTAACTTCTAATTAATATTTTATTCATTCATTTGCATGACAAACGACATTAGACCTATTTCCATTTTTAATGATGAAAAAATATCGCTCCAAGCAGATATGAAAGTTATGTGAAAAATCATATAATCTGATTAAGCAAAAGAAATAAACGAAACTAATAAAAATAAATAGATCATATCACAGAACGCTCTTTAAAGTAATGTATTTTTCTTGACTGAATAATATGCTTCAGGTCGTTGATTTTTTAGTGAAGCGTAAAATGAAAACACTGTAAAAGGTTTCTTTCACTTTCGCTTAGTTCTCGAGCTTTTTTCATTCTTTAGTTTCGTTATATAAATTTTTAATGATAAAAACAAGAAGTAAACATTTTTTTTTCTTGAAAACAATTATTTCTTTTGAGTTACAAGAATGGTATATTATAAAATACTAGGAGGCTAAGTCCCCTTTTCGCTGCCGCTCACCAACCCCGTTGATTGCATCACATTAAATATTGTTTCTTGGTGGAAAACAGTTTTTCTATTAAAGTTAAAATTATTCACTTAACATATATAAACCAAAAGGAATTCTGTTTGCTTACGCTTGTGCCTCCACTTCTCATGTCCATATATTATTATCTATTAGTATTATAAATATTATATCTATTGGTGAACAGAAGTTATTTTTTTAAGTAATAACATTTTTAGCAGATATATAAGTCTATGTAATTGAAACTAATGCTTTAAGCAAATGAAATAAGAACAGTAAAACTTAACAACTTTAATATAAAATTTAACAAGTAAAATGAAACAAACAAGCAAAATAAAATAAAGTAAGTATGTTGCTTAAACAAATCCACAATGGTAATTTAATATTTCAGCTTACCAAACGGGCAGATATATTAAATACTATTATTTCTTGCATCTCATTGTGCATGCAACTGATCGTTAAGTTTTAAATCATTTAACAGATCTCTTTAACTGTAATTTATAACAGTATATCAATATTATTTGCCCAAAAATAATAATTGTAAAACGGTAAATAATATTAAACCACCTTTCTAAATGACTTTATTTTAAGGTATAGCGTAGAATTACATTACAATAATAATAAAAACGTCAAGAATTATCTTAAAATCTTGAATTAAAAGAGTAATAACAGCAGTAAGGGGAAATAACTTTGAATTAGGGGTACAAAAATATTTATAGAAAAACAATACCTTTATGACTTTAATTAATTTTATATTGTTGACAACCAAAGCAATATAGAAATGAATAAGGAAAAACTGGATCCTACCATGTGATTTTCCGGCCAATAAAAATGCACGGACAACAATAGAAAACTGCGACACCGTTATTAGATTTTTATATATAGTAAGAAATAGCAATAATTATAGATTATATATTTCATATATAGTAAGAAATAGCATTGTATTATAGATTATAAAAATTTTGCAGTTTTTCATTCAATACTTCTTCCTCGTATTCGCTTTTAAGCAATTAATTAATTGAATAATTTATATTAAATGTTCAGATTTTAATTTCCTTGAAGAATTTAAGATTGAATTAAAGTTTTTATTAAAATTGTAAACATTTGTACAAGGTAACAGAACAGGTTATTAAGTAACAACAAATAATGCTCGATTAGTGGACTGCTTTGGTAAAATATTTTTATTTTAACTAAACACTTTTTGCTTTAAGTTTTCACCCATATGGAAAGAATAATGTTTTTATTCGATTTTTTCTCTTAATTTTATTTCTTCTCTTTCATATACTTAAAGTATTAATCAAAGGAAGAAAGAAAAAGATTATCTTAATGTCGTTTCTTAAAATGCACTGCACAGTAGAAAGCAAATTTTAAACAATGAAGTTCATTATGCTTTGATATGAGGTGAATTTTTATTTAAGATCTACAAAAAATAAATTTACTGTTGATAATGATCTAAATATTTTAAGAAATCACATATTTTTAAGGCTCATAAAATGTACCCTATATATTTCTTGGAATAATTTGATATAATTTTTATAATACTTAGAACATTGTAGGTCAATATTTACTAAATAATTAATTATAAAAAGCACACTGAATTAAGACTATTATTTCAAATTATTTCTTGAAAATACAGCAATCGTTGAAGTAAATACAACTTCGGAAGGGATTAGATTCACATGAATAGGCGCAACGATTTTAAAAGAACTCGTGAAAAAAAATTTATGAATGTAAATTTTACAAGTAAAATTTAACTGCTACTTTTAAAATTTTCATTATTTATTTATCTACTCGCTTGCTTATATTTTTATTACTGTCTTTCTTGATATATAACTTTAAAAACATGTATGATAAAATTATTGCATGTGAAGTATTGAAAGTAATTATTGATAGTATTAAAAGTAATTATAAGTTTTAAAAAAATTATTTGTAAAAATATATACTGAAAAACAATAAAAATAAGCTTATAAAGTTAGTTAGACCATTTTATAACAAATTATTTCAATTGTGTAAAGAATTAATCATAAAGAAGTTAAAAAGAGACTACTATGCTTCTACTATAACTACTATAAGACCTTCGGCAGGAAAAGTCTGGTTTACAGGGTGCTGGGCCCATGTCTAAGCGGTCATGGGTTCGACCCCCACCGGCCAAACACTTCCCGTGTAGTAAATGGTAACTGGTGTGCGTTAAATCCATTGGGTCAGTTCCACTTTCTCAATAACAAATTAAACCTCTGGGGGTACTGAATCAGCGATTAATCATTCTCTGATTCAGCTTACGGTTAACAAAATTACGATCTGTGGATGAATGCATGCATGTATGAATATCTCCGCCCTATAAACGGGTGTGACGTGTGGGTGTGAAAGAAGGTGAATTCTTGGCCATAGATGGCGCCATTGGAAGCAGGAACAATCGCACCGCTTGCCTTAATAGCCTAGGATAACAACAACAAAATAGACCTTTATATTTTTCCTATCCACATAGTGATTTTCTCAACTTACAATTGAAATTCAATGCATTTCAAAATAAATGCTTAGGATCTATAGTTTTTTTCATAAATCTTGATAATATTCTAAATTTTTTTAATGTATTAAGATAATTAAAATTAATAATCATAAAAATTAATATTTAAAACGATGAATGACAGCAAAAAAGAAATCAAAATCAATAAATATTTTATTAACATTGCTTAAATACAAACATTTTATGTAAACATACATTTAATAAATAATCATAAAAATGCTGCAATAAACAATATTTTTGACACATACATCAATTTCATTACGTCATTTTAATAACATTTTCAAAAACGCAGAAAGTTGACTATTGGTATCTTGTATTTATTCACTTTTATTCGTTTTTCTCGCACTAGAAATTTAAAAAACAATCCAAAATTTACAATGAAGCTTTTAAAAAATTAAATTTATACAGTCGTTGCCCAAGCGCCAGCACACAGGAAAAACTTTAAATCCATTTTGGAGAAAACCCCACATTTCTGCTTAGTTCTATTAAAAAATTTGTTTGAATAAGAATATGTAACTGGATATTTATTAAACAGCATAATATTAAAATAAAAATTTTGAAAAATGTGTTATTAAATCACTGAATTTTCAATTGAAAAAGTAAAGAGAAAAAAAAAACAGATTATTTATACCTTTAAAGTTCAGATTTTTTTGGTTATAAATGAGACCCATCAACTAAAAAAAAAATGCTTGATAAATACGTTTTTGTAAATTCTATGATTCCAACACTTATTTATACTCTTCATAGCTACTTGGTAGCGAGAACATGTGCGTTAAATATTTAGGTATAAATGTAAGTTCTGTTATTTCGTGTTTACAGTCAATTACAAATAGTTACTACAAATTGTTGTACGAGTTATGTAACTTATATAGATAATTCAATCTTATATTTTTCTTTAAAAACAATACCAAACACCCCTTTGGAACACTATCCCAAATATTCCCAAATTATTATGTTTTTAGACTTAATTTGTCATCAAGATATTTTGCATTTGAAATTATTTGAAAATACGTAAAATGCTTTTTTTATATTAAAAAATAACAACTCCTTTGCAATTACCATGCAATATCTGATTGAACTGCATAAATATCTTCTGAAATCATCATCTAAATATCGTATCACCTGAAATTCTATTACTCATCCAATCATATAGACCACTAACAGTCTATTGGTCACTTATTGGCAAACTAATGAGCAAATGTTTTGCAGTGATCGAGTACAGTTTATTCATGTCCACCATGTTCCTTATGGGCTCCTTGATATTGCGGGCCAGCATATCCACCGATTTGCAGACCTCCTCTTGCTCCTCCAGGACCATAGCCCACTAGTCCATTGACAAGACCAGGTTTCCTATCAAAGAAACTGGTTTCGGCTGGTCCTCTGGCTGATTCTTGGCTGTCTTCTACCATAAAAGTTTTAGATTCTCCCATGGATCCCAAAAAGGATTGTCCATCAGTAGCGTGGTAAGAAAAACCTGCAGGTAATATACCACCTCCAGACTCTTCTGGTTTTCGAGCAGCAGCTTGGAAACCATTGTTTCCAAAATAACCTGCCTGAGGAGCTGGACCACCATATCCTTGATAACCATGTGCAGGAGCTATGAAATTATTGGCGCCATTGTAGGCTGGCATTTGTCCATTATATCCAGTTGGTGCTGGTGCAGCATATCCAGCTTGTGCAGGAGCACCATATCCAGCTTGTGCTGGAGCACCATATCCAGCTGGTGCTGGTGCAGCGTATTGGGATGGCGCTGCATAGCCAGCTGGAGCAGCTTGATGAGCAGCGTCTCCGAATTGTAAGAATGAATTCGATCCACTAGGGTCTCCTACGGAATAAGAAAAGGCTCCGTTTTCCTTCTGATCAAATTGAACTTTCACATTTTCCTTGCCAACAGTTTGGGAGTAAGATGGTGATAGCGTACCAAGTCCAATAGAAAATGGCTCTTCTGCGTTGGCAAAAACGACACCAAGAGCAATGAGAATCAGAAACTGAAAGAGAACAAAAATATTAAGAGACACATTAATAATTTTTAAAATATAGTTATAACTCCTAAATAGAACAAAAAAAAATACGTAAAAAGTTGATGATTAAAGAAAAGTAAAATGCGAAAGAATAGGTTTTATTTTATTTCCAATGAAAGTTAAGAAATAATATAAATGTTAATAACAATGATATAACTGGTATGATATAATATCAGATTAATATCTCTAAATCAAGTTATTTCGCTCAAATTATTTCATACTCATTCAAATACATAGAGTATGTAGCTATTATTGCTGTTGTTGTTCGATCAATTTAGTAAGTGAAAAATTGTGTGTTAATTTAACCTTAAATTAGAATTAATGGCATGATGAATAAATTATCTTAATTGAAATCGAACAGGGAATTTTATATTCAATAAATGACATTTATCAAATGTAATTAATGAAAATTTTTATATTTTTTTATGAAACATATTTTTTATTTTTTGCGCAATAAAATAACAATTGAAAATTAACCAAATTAACCAAAATATAAAAATTGAACGGAAAAAAAATTAAATTAAAACAAACTATCAATGTCACTAAAACAGCATTGAGAACAAAACGGGAAGAGAATATTTCAATTCAAAATCATTGAAATGCCGTAGGAAAATAAATAAAAGTGAAATTTAATCAACCAAAACGCTTATTACATCACATAAAATAAATATCTACGGCACAGTGATCACATTAACTACGACAACTATTAAATAAATAACTTGGTTAATAACATAGATATGCTTTTTAAATCATTTTTTCCAAATAAGATGTTTAAATATTTCGCGTCTTTAAGAAATTTTTAAAGAATAAAAATAGAGGTGAACGAACTGAGTTAAGATATGTTTATTATAAAGCTAATCTAAATGTTTAAGAGTTTAATTATTTTTTGTTTATTTTATATCTAAAGATTCTAGAACCCATTTTTGAAACATTTTTTTCAAAAAAAGATGTTTACAGTTTTTTAAATATTTTTGTGACATTTTGCATTACGCTAAATATATTATTAAATTCCTATGAAACATTTATATTTTAACTCTAAGTTTTAAAGAATAAATGTTTCCGCCATAATAATAAATTTATAATATTATAAAGAATAAAAGTGACTGTTAAGGATTTCAATTTTTTGTTTAATTAAAAGTTTTAAGGAATAAAAGTTATGCCATAAGAATAAATCTTCCACATTACAAAGAATAAATGTGTTATTTTAGAATGTAATACCTATGCAAGGAATATTATCAAATTCCTGCCTGTTTTTTTTTTAAATTTTATTATAACTAGAAATATAATAATTCTTCATTATTGCATTTATTTTTAATAAATATGTCCAAATTTTAAGTATTTAACATTTTGTTACTATACGCATTTAAAAATTTACGAATCTTCTTAATTCATAACTTCATATTTTTTTTAAAAAAAATCATGTTTAATTAAAATAACTAAATTATACATAGACTGTAAAAAATTTAAATACACAGTAAAAAATCTAAATGCACATCCAAAATATAAACATACTGTTATCGATTTTAGGTTTTTAGGTACATTGTTTCAAATTTAGAATTCTATGAAAACATTATAATGATGGAATCGCTTTAAAGCTTGCAATTCAATTGATGTTTACTTTATCATTTGAGTTACTTTATCATTTGAAGTTGAAAGAAAATCTGCAATCTCTTCAATTTTTTGTAAGTTAAAAAAATAATTATCATTATTTTGTTAAATAATTGAGAAAAAAAATTGTTTTGTGCTCTGAATCACCGCAAGGTGTATTCTTATTTAATGCATTTTTTTACATTTCAGCAAATCAGAAGAGGGGAAAAATCGTATTAGATATTCAAACGCTCTTTTTTTTTTCTTCATAAATTCAAATGAAACAGTAAATACGTGAATTATTATCTTTTCAATAATTGATATTACCTCTTTCTCCCGATTACTCTAATTTAGTCAAAGTTCAAAGCATAATTTAATAAAACATTTTTTACGAAATATAATTAGGAAAATAAAATCAGATTTATATTTCAAATATAATATTGATACTAGTAAAAGATTTAAATCATTTACCAGGCATTTAAAAGAATTTAATAAATTTAAGGATTATTTATTTTTTGTAAAAGATAATTGTATTTTTCGGCATATAATAAAGATTTTCTAATTTTAAAGCTTTAAGTATTTTTCAATTTTTTAAGTTTTATTTTTAGTTGTATTTTTAAAAGGTAGACATAGTTATTCATAAAATTGTATGAACCGTAAAATATAAAGAAAGATAAGAAGAATAAGTAGAAAGATATTTAAAAAAGATAAGAAGAATAAGTATTATTTTGATTGTTAAGTTTTTTTGCAAATGATAGTTTCAAAAAAAGGAAATTCGATATTCTATCAAGAACAACAATTATTTAATTTTAAAAAATCTTAAAATATGTTTTTACAAAAAAATTTCTATCAAAATCGAAACTTTTGCAGATTTAATCCGCAAGAAACAACTGGAAAAAAATTTCTCTAAAAATTTTAAGCTATTGTAATCGATAACCATATAAAACAGAATGCTGAAATTCCATTTGAAAATTATTAATTTTCTGTACTACTAGTAATTTATTTTTAGTCTAATATATTAACACAAATAATTCTGAAATAGTTGAAACTTAAACAAAAGGTTGAAAGAGTTTAATTTAAAAAAACGCAACAATAAATGAAAAATATAAAAAATTATAAATAAAATATTACAGGAATACACGCTGTTCTTATGTGTATGCATACGTATGCGTATAAGTTATGCATACGTATGCGTATAAGTTTATAACTTCAAGATACTTATTTGAGATTTTAAAAAATATTAATTTGAAATGGAATTTTTTGATAATTTAATATTTTTGATTAATATATCTAATATTGGTAGAATTGTGGAAAATTTTGATGGTTGTGAAATTTAATACTTCTCATTAATGTATCTAATTTTCCTAAAAATCTACGTTTCATTTGAGTTTATCTAGTTTTCACCGTTTGTATTATGCAAGATAACGAATTCACATGAAATAAACGATTGTATAGATATATAGATATATGTTCAGTATGAGTTTTGTTTAAAAACTATTTTCAAAAATTTAATTTAATTAATTTAAAATTATAAAAAAATAACCGTTTGAAATAGTATTCACAATAAAACTAAAAAATATTTTAAATGGAAATATCAATATAAAGTTAAATTATCCATATTTCATTTACATTTCAATATCTATTTCTTACCTGATTCATGATGCAATATAATGAAATCACAAAAAATGAAAGTCCAGAAAATAAACAACTAAAAATTACTTTCAAAAATCTAACTTACTTAATTTAAAATTAAAAAATAACCATTTGAAATAGTATTCACAATAAAACTAAAATTTTTTTAAAGAGAAATATCAATATAAAGTTAAATGATCCATATTTAATTTACATTTCAATATCTATTCTTACCTGATTCATGATGCAATGTAATGAAATCACAAAAAATGAAAGTCCAGAAAATAAACAACTTCCTTATTGATCAAGTAAAGATCAAATACAGTTCTTAAGTGGGAAGGTGTTTGGGGTTTTTATAGTTTTTTACCTGTGTGTCGGTATGCCACGCTTTGAGACTGGCCTTCGTTTCGGTTGTCGGCACCACCTATTCTCCGACGCGTATTAGCCGACCTAATTGGCGAGATAAACACATATCCAGCCACCGGATCTTAAAATCATTTAGGACAGAAGGGTTTTAATGGAGAATTAAGCGCACAATATATCTTGCACCTTTTTCATCAGAAAATTCCAGAATTAAGAAAAGCCGAGTATTTCATCTTTAAACTAATACGCGCATTACAGCACTTTAAAAAAAAAATGAAAATATTTTTTTTAGAAATGAAAATCACTATTTTTATGCACCAGGAGGTTCCACAATCCAACCCCCCTAATTGCTTCTCATTCATCCTTTTCCCTCAGTCAAAAAAGAACCATCATTTAATTTATAAAATGTATAATTGTCAAACTTTATGTATTTCGTTGATATTTTAATCTTGAAAAATAATATATAAACCAGGGCTCGAAAAGCCGCCCGTTCTCAGCGGTCAAAAATTCCCCGCCGACAACGAATTTCTCGAATCCAACGTCCGCGCAGACGGCCATTTTCCCGTTAATGTTCGTGATATATTTTCAATTTCAAACTCAAAAACACGCGGTACCCTCGGAAAAATTGACATTCCAAATAACTTGACCATTGTCATTTATAAAAGAAATAAATTAATTCATAAAAAAATACTAGGTTACTATTAGTAACCTGGTATTTCTTTTATTACTGTAAAATGTAATCCTAGTATTTGTAATCCTAGTAACTACTAATTAATTGTGCAATTTACATAAATGTTTGTAATAAATAAGAGAAAATTATATTTTTATTTATTTTGAAGTTACGGGTTAGTTTCAAAGGAGGACGGGTGTATTGTTGGACAAGCCGTCCTCGAGGACGGGTAAAAATTCTGAGTATTTTCGAGCCCTAATATAAGCTTAAGAATACGGATATACAACACAATAAAAAGTAATAAAAGAGAAGTAATTTTTCTTGTTAAGGCTGTTTTTCGAAGTCTCCGTTGCAATATGATATGTAATGTGCACGTTAAATTTTTTGGTCACCATGTTTCCGTAACAAATTATCATTTGAGAGTACTGAATTGGATATTGATCCTTCTCTGGTTCAGAACAAAATTACGATCTGAGGATGAATGAATGAATGGGTCAGCCTTAAAAACGGGCTGTGTCGTATGTGTGTTGCAGAAATCGAAATCTTGGCCATAGATGACGCCATTGGAAAACAAAAACAGTCCCCTCCCTCTGCCTCAATGGCTGACGATAACAACAGCAATACTTTTTCAAATAAAAAACACCGCCCAAATTGATTAACCATCGCCAATATTTCTAAATTTACTGATAACCCTTAAAGGCTAAGGACTTGTAAAATTTATTCTATCCACTTTCGAATATAACATCTCAAATATCTAAAAATCATTTTTTATGTTAGGTAAGGAACTGTGAGCGAAGAACAATTAATCATTTTAAGTTTGAAAATTACTTACCGCATTAAGTAATTAACCAAACTAAGTTTAAAAATTGACCTACCTGTGTTTGATAGCATGTTGAGTTTAAGGACTCAAGAGTTAGTAGCGGCTATTCTGCACTAAAGACATCTTCCTGAGCAACCAAACACTTATGTACCCAAATTCCATTAAACGCATAAAGAGTTTGACATACTGAAGGGGATGAAACGATTTTGTATTATGAGTTTTACGCAACAAAAAAAAAAAAAATAATAGAAAAGCAAAAGAGAAAAGGTATTATGGTGCATCAAGGTCGAATAAAATTTTTTTTGAATTTAGAAATGTAATAATTTGTATTATGATTGCGACATTTTTAAATTTTTAGAGTTTAAATTTAAATGTATGAGTTTTATTGTTTGTCGTAAAAAGATTTTATCATTTAGATGCAAAAGAAATAATGCTCATTCCGTTAAAATCGGAAGAGAAGGTTTTTTATTCTCCCTTTTTTATGCCTTAATCTAAGAAGTCATAAACTTTTTGAAGTCATTTTTTATTTATTTATTTATTTATTAGGCATTTAAAAATTTCTTCAAAAATGGTTCAATTCTGCAGAATAATGTGATTTTAAACTTTGAAATATCTAATATTTTTTCTACTATCTAGTTATGAGTAAGAGCCGTAATGTCACATGGGATAGACCGTTCGCCTTCCAATGAGGTGATACGGATTCGAATCCCAGCGATGGCTAGTCGATACCAATTCCGCATCCGGCTTGCCCTGACCACAGTGCTGATGTAAAATATCCTCAGTGGTGACGAATCATGGGTTAAAGTTCCTTTGCCATCAAGCTAACAGTGGAAGGTTTTCTGGTTTTCCTTTCCATGTAACACAAATGCGGTTTAGCTCCATCGAAAAGTCCTCCATAAACGCAAATATCTTCCAGTACTTGCTCCAGAAGTTCCTTTGTCTTCTGGATTGGGATCAAAATTACAATGTTATGGATTTGAGCATTAGTAGTTATATACCAAAAAAATTGGGTCGGCTGTTCAACGAAGGTTATACCTATAATAAAGACTAAAAACATGAAACTAGAAAATAATTTGAAATATGTAATTCCTTTTTTTTTCAGTGTTGTTCCCTATGCAAACTACGTTCCTTCATTCTCTACAAAATACTGGGGAATCATATTAAACCTTGTTCCGTGCCTATTTTAGTTAAGTTATTGAATTTGCGGTTTCAACTATGTATCCTTGTAATTTTGAACTCAATCCAGATGACAAGTTAATCAAGCATTGGGTAAAACTTACAATTGCGGAGGATTTTTTATTAGAACTGACACGATAAAGGACCCCCCAAAAAAACTATCGTAATTAGCCTGAAAGCAAGAGAATTCAAACCTATGATAGAACTATGAAACGGAAACAGTAACTAGCAAACTACAATGAGATATTTATGATGAGAAGCTAATCAACTATGAAATAGAGAGTTCTACAACAGCCAGTTGTTGGCAGGGGTCATGATATAGTCAAAAACCTAAATTTGTGATAAACGGGCAGCATTCCAGGTAGGCCACCTTCAATTTTCGAACCTGCTGTTAAACTTATGATCTCTGCAACTTTCAGATGGGTCTAAAGCCACCACTGGGAATGCAACCCAGGTCCTACGCAATGACAACTCAGTACTTTAACAACTGTACTATTGGCACGATAAAACCAAAAGCACAATATAATGAGAAGCTAGGCTTAGAGGATAGATAGAACGTTCACCTTCCAATGACGTGACCCAGCTTCGAATCTCAGCGATGGCTGGTTGATAAAATTTCCTCATCGACTGACCACAGCGCTGACGTAAAAATATCCTCAATGGTCGTAGACGGATCATGGGTTTGACTACCCTTGCCATCAGGCAAATCGTGGGGTCCAGGATCGATATAACGTTAATGCAGGCTAGTTCCATCAAAAAGTCCTCCACATCACAAAGGAATAACTTCTCCCAATACTTAATCCAGAAGTTCCTTTGTCTTCTGGATTGGGTTCAAAATTACGAGGAGCAATGGTAATCGCCTACTCAAAAAAATGGGTTGACGGTAATAAAATAAAATAAGTGATATAATGGGGAGCTACTTAATGCAAATTCTGACATTCGAATGAATAACGTAATAAAGGAGCCATGAAAAAATACAAAACAAGCTAAATATATTTAAATGTCACTAATAATCTCTTCATAAATTTCTTCAATAAAAAAATGACCTATTTCCCAGTAATATTTCTACTCTATCAAGAAAGATATTTTTATTGAATATCTTGTGAAATCTCTACATTAATAGAATGAAGAACAGTCTTCGGTTGCACATATAGATATATTTCTTATTTTTACTACTCATAAAATGGTTCTGCCTGATATTTGAATGCAAATCATCCATTCAACCCCTTTGTCTTAAAATTCTCTCGTTTATGATGTCTTTTTCTTTGGTAAATTCTAAACTACTGGTGTGCGAAAAGCGAGTTTCTAATAGCGAATATACTAACAATGGAAAGGCGATTACATTTAATTTATTTTAAAGTAAAGAAAATTGAAAATAAATAGTACACAAAATGATTTTGGTTTAGATGGTAAGATAATCATGTGAAAATCATCGGTGATCTTTTAAACATAGCACAGCTCGTAATGCGTATTTAAGTAAATGGACACAGATCAAAATATACATTTACGAAAATGGACACAGCTCGAAACAAGTATTTAAAGGAAATGGACCTAGTATTTGATTCATTTTAGAAACTTCTTTTATGAGTATTGTTCTTTTATTTAAGAATAAAATTTTAAATGTGATATGGTCCATTTGCATAAATCACTTTTGGTACATTTTATTAAAATTAGTCTCTATTTAAAGCTTTCTCAACTGTGCCTTGGGTGCTATAATTTTATTATAGTGGTGGTAAATTTACATTGTACAAATTTCGAGTTCTTAATCGTTTAGAGTTCTGAATACAAAGACATCGCATGAAAACTTACATGTGCAGTATAAACAGCCATATCGACCCTGATGAATGAGACTTAGCCACGTAACGATTATATTTAGTGTTCAAATAAGTAAGAAAAGGTAAGCATGTAATGGGATGCCTGTAAGTGACGTAGGGTGGGTATCTCGATCTTGATTGGTTGTTGAAACGTGGCATTTGGTTAGGTTTGCAACTGTTCTTTCCATTGTATTTTGAATATGCCAAGTCCGTCGAGCATGAATTCTCTTAAGTGAGACATTCTAAATTCTTTCACAAAGAATCTTTCTCAAATATTTCAATTCCTTCACTATATAGCTCTTACTTAACACAAAGACAGGCACAAAGCAATGCGGAAAGTAAACAAATTAATTATGCATCGAAGCTGCCAGGTACACAAAACAAATATGTATCACGGTTATAATAAAATACACAAACAAATAATAAATCTAAGTTAAATAAAAGAAGTAGACGATAAAGATTTATATTTCAACTAATTTAATTAAGTTATTATTATTATTATCTAATTACATTCTAACTTATGTAGAGAAATTTTGCCAAACTTTAATGCTAT